AGATATTTCCAGATTGCTTTGATTTCAATTTATATTTTCAGACTCATTCCTCAAAGGTAAAACTGCAGAACTCCCTTCTAGAAGAGTGATATAACCTACAGAAGAACCTTTGTTCTCTTCCAAACTCTGATTCCTCCTGTTACTAAGAAACGCAAGTAATCTCCATGGGTCTGAGACATTTTCATTTAAACGGTACATGTATTTTTCACAGTTAACCACCAGGTAGTTGGCTCTATGGCTAGTGGGGAAAACAACAAACATCACAACATAGGAGCTCTGAGTTAGAAGGGGGTTATGCATTAAGTACTGTGTAATTTGATTTCCTGAAGTCCCTATCTGAGACCTTGAGTCATTTCCACCGTGAGCGTTGACAGATGCAGCATAAATTAATGTTATTCTTGTCAAAGTATGGGTAACTTGGAGTGATGATGCTGGTTATTATTCTTCCTGGTGCTTCCCTGTCCTCCTAAATGGTATGGGACTGTAAGGCGGTTCAGCTCTTCAGGGTTGGTGCTGCCTCTCCTTGTTTTCCACATCTGCTCATACATTGTCCTGCCAAGGTGTCTTGGAGGATGCATCCCAGCCCAAATGCAGTTCAACCAGGGGAGGAATTATAGAGTGACACTGTCTTTGTGCAAGATGTTGTCACCATGTGAAAAAAAACATGGCGACATTGCTTGGCACTGTCTCAGGACATCATCAGCTGGATGGGACAGGCATGCTAAAAATGCACAGATCCTTTAAAATACACACTTCTTGGTCCCGTACTATTGTGGTAGCTGGGTTTGTACAGGGCCTCCTGCACTGTAGCGGAAAAGGCTTTTTGTTGTTGTTGTTGCCAACTCTTCTAACTGTCATGTTTCCATCAGCCAAGCAGTAGAAACACTGCCATGTGACCAGAGCAACCAGCCACACCACATGAGTAACAGCTAGCAAACAGTGGGAGTGAAAAATTTGCAAACAATATCAGATTAGAAAAATCAATCATTCATTCTCACTCTGTGTTTAGGTTCCTGTGTTTTGCCTGTCATGGTGGTAGGTAGGATTATTCATCCAAACTGTGTCACCAATGCTTTACCAGTCATGATACCGTCTCAGAACATTCATGTCTGTCCAGAAACAATTCACAACCCAAAAGGCTAGGGACAGAAATTACACATAAACCCACATAAGTGACCGGAAATTGGTTCGAATCTGTAACACAACAGAAGTTCAGTGCACATAAGCCACTTTCCAAAATGGCCAAAACCAGTTTAAGATAAACCTGAATGGATGTAGTATCAGACTTACCTGGCTTAGGTTGAATTGGTTTATTGAACTTCTGTCCCAGATCAAAGATTTCATAGATTTCATAGACATTAGAGCTTGAAGGAAACTTGTGAGATCATTGGGTCCCAAGGGGCAAGAAGTCAGCTGGGGTCAGATCACCCCAGCAAGATAAGCATCCAAGTATTTCTTAAAGGTATCCAGAGTAGGTGCTTGCACCACTTCTGGGGGGAGTCTGTTCCAGACTCTGCAGACTCAGATGGCAAAGAAGTTTTTCTTTATGTCCAGTCTAAAATGGTCTTCCAGCAGTTTGTGACCATTAGACCTTGTCTAAGCCCGTGGTGACCAAAGAGTCTAAGCCCATTGTGACTTTCAGTCCTACCAGATAGCTTGATCACTCTTTACTGTCACTGATGATGGGTGAGGCTCGAGTGTCTCAGAGCTTTGGTTCCACTGTCATCCTGAACTTATCTGAGCCCCTCTAGTGCAAAATCCATTTAGAAATGCCACCCAAAACATGCATGTTAACCAATCTAAATATTGTTGAACTTTGAATGAGTTTTGAATCAGGAGAAAGGATCAAGAGGTTGAAACACGCCACACTTAACTAGCCCATTGTCACATAACCCTGTTGTATGACTCATCCTTCATTGTGGCGGTGCCTTGTGGTTATTTCTGATCGCGTTGTGTTCGTGGTCTCAAATCTGATTTACAAAAGCTGGACTGTTTCATGCCTGGCATGTGAAATCTGCATTGTGAAACCCTCCTTGATCTGTTGGGTTCTTCATGAGTCTGTTTGCCTGTGTGGCTGTTTACAGACGTCCCCAGAGCTCAGCGAAGCTGTAAGCTGGCTGCGGATGGGAAGAAACAGGGCAATTAAACTGCAGCAGCCAGGGCAGCACACACAATTCATAAATATGAGCATTAAATTTCAATTACCTCATTCTCAAGACAGAACTCCCAAGGGCATCAAAGAATGAATCTTTTCTCAGAGGCTGCTGACAAGAAGAGAAGAGTGCAAGCTTAACCCATATCAAATATTAATCTTTGGCGGTTTGATTGTTACTGAGAATTTTCTAGCACAATGATCCTGCTATGTCGCTGAATGCGATGACTATGTATGAGCAAAATGTAAATGCTTCAGGTAGACAAGGGTGGGCCGTGCTGCTGGGTGGCTCTGCATGTCTGGGGATAGGAAAGATGGGTCTAAGGTGAAGGCACAAGGCTGAAATCTGTGATCTTTTATCTCTCTGTGCCTACCATGCCATACCTACGCAGTAAGGATAATGGTTTATCTACTCTCATCCTGTCTGACCTATTTGGACTAACTGGTTTTGGAAGGAGAGACTGTTTCTTGCTCCATGTGTCTACAGCACCTAGCACAATGGGACCCTGACCTCAGCTAGGACTTGTCAGTACAGCCACAAAACAAGCAGAACCCACCGGCTGGTGAATCCCAAACCTCATTTGCTGCTGCGTGTACCTGAGTTAACAGTCTACTGATTTCAGTATGATCTAAGTTGACAGCAGGTGCAAGGGGAGAACCAGCGCATAACAAGTTAATCTCTGATTACTACCCATTCTGCACACCTGCGGCAATGAATTTTTTGGCCACCTAAAATTGCTGGGCACTTTTGGCCTGTGTTTTAACAGGTGTCATAATCAATGCAAGTGTCCCCACAAAAACCAGGCACTGAAAATAATTACTAGCTCCCTGGAAGATACAAACAACATGTGAATAATGCTTTTCACTGATGGCTCAACAGCAACATCATTATAGCAAATGCCTCGATTGTTAGCCTGAAGTGGAACAGCAGAAGCCATATCATTTGGAAAAAAAAATCACAGGGGGTGGGCTGACTTCTTGAAGACATGCTGCTTCCTGAAGCACCTCTTAGCAATGTCTGCACGTCATAAAGTTCTCACATGGGCTTCACCTGGAGGAAAAATCCCCCAGGCTGCAGGGTGTTAATTGGAAAACAGCAGTACAGGGGTGGGGTGGGGTGGGGGGAGGGATGGACCAGGCAGCCAGAGTTTTCTCTCAAATGTAGGAGTGGGTTTTAATCCCATTGGAAGTGACATTTGGTGGATTACACGCTCTCCTTAGAAACGAGGAGCTTGTCAAAGCCTGGCTGCTACTTGGGTTTTGATCCCTGGCGTAGAGCGCTCAACGTTAAGATCAATCTCCTTGCTTATCTGTTCTTTCTTCTGGACGGATGCTGGCTGTGGCTTTGCCTACACAAGGGATATTAGAGATTTTAAAACAGAGGCAAGTTTTGAGCCAGATCCCAATAAGTGTCAACAGTTCGGTGCCGCTGGCAAGGGGTGGAGAATGCCGCTGCAGATGCTGATCAAAGCTAGATGGTTAGATCAACTGAGTATCACACAGGATAGCTCTCGTATCTCCCAGAATGGAAGGTTTTTGTCTCTTTAGTGGATTCTGACTCAGTGTTGAACGAGGATGGTGCAGTAATTACCGAAAAGGAAAAGTGTCGCCCATCACGTCACTATTCATCGGCAGGGATCTTCCAAAATCCCTCATTCATGCGGTCCCCCAGCCTGACTCAGCTTAGGGGAGCTGATCCCAGCTTGTCTAGTGCCTCGTGGAAGAACAGATCTTTGCATCAAGACACACAGGATGATATCAGAGCCAGAGACTGTGCTGTGATCTTCCCGTAGGCAGGTCAGCTCCAGCAGATGATCATTTGAAGCCAAGAGGCAGAGAAAGTCGTGGCCTGTTTATACTTTCACTGTTAGCTTGTTCATTTTAATGAAGAGCAAGAAAAACCAACGCGTGGCAGAGGAAATGCTCTAAAAAAGCATGAAAGGAAAAATGACTTGGGCAGGATAATAAGAGCTTAATGCATTAGCCACGCAAGGAGCTGCTCTGATTGCAGCTGGGCCAGCTCACCAGCTGGGCCCAATGCCTCCTCCTTGCTGCTGTGCCAGCTGCCCGGCCGCTTTGCAAATGTCAGTCTTGTAATTAGAGATTTTCTGGATTTCCTTGCAGCCGCAAAGCCATCTAAACAAATGTGGGCAGACCCTGATGTGAAGTTCCCACCCTTTCTTTGGGCCCCTTGTCCACATGAGATAGCAGGAGTCAGGGGAGGGTGGAAAGGAGAGGATAGATCCTGTCAGCTCAACACCGCTGCTGTGGTTGGGAGAAGGGTTGGCACTGGAGAGAGGGGCTGTTTGACAACGGGAAAGCAGAAGTCATCTTGTTAATACACCAAAAAGCAAGGATACAGTAGCTTTTCCCTAGGGGCGTGCAGGGGAGGGCAAACTCTCAGTTGGTACAAAATGTGCAATTGCACTGGGGACAGCTAACTACGATGAGATTGAACCTCCATTCTCTAAAGCACCTCCCTTCTCTCAGGTCTGATCCGCCCAGCAATGCACTCTGGCATCACCATCATTGTGGCATGCCAGCCCCCCCCGGTATGTAAATGGCTTCTGTCTCACAATACCACTATGAGACAGGAAAGGTGTTACCTCCATAGCACAAGCACAGAGAAAGTTAGTGACTTGTCCACATGACTGATTTGCAGTCAAGAGCTCCCCAGTCCTTAGTCCAGAGCATCTTCAGCATAAGATCATTGAATGCATTGAATACCATAACCCTTGCAAAGCCTCCTCGTTTACAAGATAGCAGCTTGAGACTCCCCGAGCCGGCACGCATGGCTGATGTTTTATGCTATGTCCCTGACTGTCATTTGGCTTCTTCCTTGTGGCAGGGGGAAGTTGGAACCTGGTACCTTTCACCTTCATGGATCCCCTGAACCTGTCCTGGTACAACAATGAGATTGGCAACAGGAACTGGAGTAAGCCTCTCAATGGGTCCGACACAGAGCAGAAGCCTCACTACAACTACTACGCCATGCTCCTCACCCTCCTCATCTTCGTCATCGTCTTTGGCAACGTGCTGGTGTGCATGGCCGTGTCCAGAGAAAAAGCCCTTCAGACCACCACTAACTACCTGATCGTGAGCCTGGCCGTGGCAGATCTACTGGTAGCAACGCTGGTGATGCCCTGGGTGGTCTACCTGGAGGTAGGTGACGTGGGTGTGTAGCATGTCCTGTGCAAAGCCAGCATGCCTTGTACATCTGGTCTGAATCGGGTGCTTTCCTGAATCAGTTTGCCAAGTGCTTTGACATTCATTGGCAGGAAAAATACAATACAGGCTTTTAGTACCACCAAAAAATTATTGCCAGTTCTCCCAGTCTGGGTTTCATTAGGGATCCTTTCTTTGCAGGGCAGTAAGAATCTGAAGAGCTGCCTTGCTCTAGCAATTAGGGGTCTTTCTGTGTTAGGATCTGGTGAATGCAGTGGTAAATACACAGCCCTGAGTGTAGTATTGTCGTCTTACAATAGGACTGTCTCCATTAGAAGGGAACGTTTAAACCTTACTCACCAGAGAAAGGAACTGGTATTTTGGCCAATGGCAATTTTCAAAGAAGCCAGAAAGCCCAACAAGAGCAGCTAGTGAAAATACTGGCTCCTTTTCTGTAATGGATGGCACCTGCCAGGATGGCCCCTTGTCCCACAATAGAAAAGATTGGTGAACGACCTGCTGCAGGGAGCAGAAATGGTCTCAGTTCATTTCGTGCTCATGAGTGCATGAGCAATGCACACAGCACGTTGATTATTCACACACACTTTGGAGGGAAATATATTTATTTTCTGCTGGTGGAGTTGGGCTCATCTTGGTTTGAGAGAGAGAGAGGGAGAGAGAGAGAAATCTCAGCCTAAACCAACTGCATTTGAAAAAGTGGCCATCATTTAAATAAATGGGAGCAGAGCCTTTAAAAATAATCTGGCCAGTCACAAGTGCTGAAGGCCTGGAAACCTGGCTCCAAGCCCTTCTAAAAACTGATCCCCAAGATGAAGCCATTAAGGAGGGATACAGGCCCTGATGCGATTTTAAAAGATACACCAATATTTGAAGTGCATACTTGGTCCCAGGAAGGGCCCTTATCCACTTCCCAGTGTCATATGAATAGTCCACAGAATACCAACCATTCATTTAGTGTAGTTCTTAGGACCCATAGCAGAAGGGAAAAGGTGTGATGGAACATATCAGTTGTAAATGCTATGCCACTGTGTCACAATATATGAGAAAAGCAGAATCTCAAGAGAGCTACTTGTTGCATTACTGCTGTCTGAGTGTCACATCAGTACAAAGGAGTGTGCGTCAAGCCAGGTTTGAATGGCACAAGTGTTTTGTGAGAACGCAAAATTCCACAAATGCCAAGCATTTAGCTCATGTCAAATGAGTTTTGGAACAGTAAATAGCTAGAAATTGCAAATTGCATTGGGTGCAGGATAATAGAAACAACAAGTTCCCTCCTGTCCTTCGGTGCATTAAAAATGTTGATGTGTGGGTGAGAGATTGAGAAAGAGGGAGGAGGATATTCATTTTCTTTGGAGACTGGAAGAATCAGGAAAAAAGGCTACTGAACAATTAACATAGGGTACTGCTCATCTCTTGTCCAAGAACCAGCTCAAGTTTTATGTGCTACTTAATGACTTAAGTGAGGTAAGTTGTAGTTAAGCCTCCTGCAGGTCTTGTATGCCGCAGGAACACACCTCATGCATAACACCTAGGGCAAAGCACAACTGGAGATGCTTTATCCAGGTTGCCAAAAACTTTACGGTTGCTCCCCCTGATGCTGGATGGTAGCCTGTGTGAAGGAAGCTGGGAGGATCTTCAATCCGGACACAAATGGGTGACATCCACATCAGTCTCCTAGTAGGCCTCTACTGGGCATCTGCTCTGGGAGAGGCCAAGTATGCAATGGGCCACGGAGCCTGGACTTCTGTTTTTATCTCTACTCCCTCATTACTGTGCTAAATACTTAGAAAGCCTCCCCTTCAGTGTCAGGGGGAAGCATACTAGCAAGAGGGAAAATACAAGTTTGCTCTGCTGGTGCTTGGGCTCCGTCTCAGCTCTCAATATTCATCAAACACATTTTCCCTACACGATTTCTTCAAAAAAAAAGAACAAATAAATAAGTGATATTCCCACCAGTGCATATTTTTAGAAGTGCCTGCAATGGGTGACAACCTGGAGGGTTTTTCTACAGCTCTGCATTTGCAGAAGTACAAGGAAGAAGTCAAATTGCTGTCTACCCAGGCAGGAGGTCCCAGCCAAGCACACAAGCATATGTTTAAAGTCAAGCACATGATTAATGACATTGAAGTGACCGGAGCTGTCCACATGCTTTATGTGAAGCATGCAGTTAAGTGCTCGGTAGTACTGGGCTCAAGGGAGCTACAGCTGTCTCGTTATTACTTTGCAGTATAAATAATAATCACTGATACACACTCATGCTGCAGATGAAAAGCCTTTCCCTGGGACCTCTCTCTCACCCTTGTTTCACAGCAAGAACCCTGATTTTAATTCACTCACTGCTGAGTTACTGGACTTTAATCTAGTCTCCAGCTCTGGAGTCAAAGAGAGGCATTCCCACATGCCATCCCATTAGGAATGGGGTCAAAGAAAGGAGAAGAGTCTGCTTGGCCAGGCAGCTGAGTGCCATTTCACTGCAGCAGACTGGAGTTGCTCAGGGATTTGGCTACTGAGGGTTAGCCTGGGTCTGCCTCACTTGCTTGTGTGACTGCTTTATCACCAAAACTATCAATTTAAATCATCAGTTTAGCAACAATTTGGGTTTTTGCCTAACCACGCTGGCACTCCACGTGCCCAGGTACACATAGTACCTAATTACAGAGCCGCTGATGGAGGGATTTAATACCTGCATTAACTTCAGTGTGAGCCGTTTCTCATTCAGAACTACTTGGGAAAATGCTGCATAGTAATGCATTGTGATACTATGATAATCCTGCCCCCTGCGCCCTCCTAGGCAGAGATTCTAGTTCGCTGCAGAAATCATTTTGATTGCATCACAGGAGGGAAAAGAGAACAAGATATTTGACTGTGTATTAGGAAAACTGAAAAGCCCCAATCAGCAGGATGAAGACTGATTTGCACTTTACCTCCCACAGCTCAAGCTGCAGCCCAGAAGGAGAGATCATCTTGCTATAGCGTTTGCTCTTGTACAGTTAGTACAGGGAGAATCTGATCAGAACGATACAAGTTAGAGCCACGTGGTCCGTCAGCTCATCGCCCCAGGCAAGCTCAGTCCTCACAGCATAGCGAACGGCGTTTTCCATCAGTGGCTGCCAGCCCGGAGGAATCGGGAATGACTCCACGCTGCCATTAGGCCCATGCAGAGTGAACCGGAGTGATGACCGACGCAACAGGGTAGCTGCTGCACCCATCCTGTGCGGGTGAGCAGGACCCACAACCTGCGCAGACCTCTGAGACTCTCACTCTGCTTCCTTAAATGTGTCTCTGTCGTGGCAGTCAGGAGAGGCCCAGTCATGGGACTTGCCCCTTCCCGATGTCCCAACTTCCGGGGGCTCCCCACTGATCCAAGAGTGCCCCTGGTTTTCATCCAGGCCAGACTGCTATTAATTTGCCAGTAGGATCTCTTGCCACCAGGCTGAATCAGTGCTGATGAAGAAGTTGATTGCATTTATGCAGGCACAGGAAGTTTTCAGTGGGCGCGTCTACACGAGGCGTTAACTGTGAAGTAGCTTAAGAACGCTGTGCAGTAGCATGCTGGGCAAAAACTGTGCTAATACACTACTGCACAGTAATATTAGGCTACTGCACAGAAAGCATCATTAAAAACCCGTGCACCGGTGCTACTGCACAGTAGCACAAGTTATTGTGCATTGATTTAGTACTCGGCTATCCAAGTAGTAAACTTAATGCGCAGTAACTTTGGTGCATTAATGAATGTGTAAACACATGCACTGTGTTCTAGGAAGCACAAATGAGATTTTGGGCTACTTATTCTAATAACAGTTTTAGCCTGGGCCTCTTAATATCCCACTAGATTCCCTAACCTCCAAGTGGGTCCCAAGCCAGCACCTTCCAGGTCCTGGTTTAACTTGGAATCACTTCTCCAATCTAAATATCATTGCAGCTTAGATCTATGGCAGTGGCTCTCCCCTGCCCATGCCAGAGGGGAAGATGGCTTTTGTTGGGAAGAGACGGGGTTAGGGTTGGGGGGTAGAAAATGGGGCAGTGGTAGAGGAGCTCACACAAGGCTTGGATTCATCCTTTCATGCTGGTAGTGAAAGATAGGCCCCTGCCTTAAGGTCCAGGCCCTGATTCAAGTTTTCCAACTAGGGGTGATTAAATCCCAGGGATCATCTCTGGCTTGTGTGCATTACAAGACTGCTCTAAACTCTACCGTGTGATGCTGAGCCCATCCACGTGGATCCTGAGCCGTGCAGGGATTGTGGGGAACTTGCTAACAGCTCACTGACATTGGAAAAGCGCTGTCTAAATCCTCCTCCTCCCCAGCTGACAGGATCAACCTTGTTGCCTTTGAACAGATTCAGGATTTGCATCTGAATAGGTCAGGTTGCTGCAGGGAGCACCAGGGCCCAGCCATCTGGAACCTTGACCCCAAAGACTTATTCTGATGGCAATGAAGGGCAAAGTGGAAGGATATGCATGGCAGGCTACATCCCATTTGTAACAGGGAGATAATAGCATGTCCCAAGATCACAGCCTGGTGCCGGATATAACCCATTAAAGACTGTGAGCTGCCCAGGCATGATAGGGATTAGGAGCGTATAAACACCTGGAGTTGGAGTTGTGCCTGGTTTCCCAAATCAGTGGGACAAACTGGCAGCTGTTTCTGTATGAGGCACTGAAGTGCTTTTCATTGCCACTCAGAGCTATTTGGGCCAACAGAGATCTTGGGTGGAAATGCAATTTGCTTCTCCCAGGGCTGTTCAACAGGACTCTGCCTGGGGCCACAGCTCCACGTGCTCCAAGGGCGTTCTGTCTGACAACATACAAGCTAAAACTCTACTTGGGGGGTTAATTAATGGCACAAACCTATGCTGGGCTGGGTTGTGATCTGAAGCGTCTTCCAAAGACTAAATGACATGCTTATCAAGGAGATAAGTGTCTGCAGAAGCCAGGCCATCATTTCCAACCATGCAAGACAGACATGCTAGTCAAGGGAGTAGGAACAGCAGTTCGTGCTGTGCCAGGCTTCCCCACCAGGCAGTGGGGGAAGGAGCTCTGTGCTTCATCACAGGTCAGTGAAGTAGAACTGAAGTTGCTGAGAAACTTTCCAAACCCTATTTGGCTGTAACCCCTGCCATAGAGTCTCCCAACGGCACCTGCTACATTTAGTTAAGGACTGAGGGTTCAGCTTTGCACAACAGGCCATGCTTTGGGAAGGCTGTCTGGCTGAGGCTCGTACTACAGCTTCCAGAGCACCGGGAGGAATTGCCTGCTGAAAGAAAGGGACAACAAAAGACCTGGAGAGTGAATGGATGTGAGAAAAAGATAAAGTGCTGGACTGCAGGGTGGGGAAAAGAAAAAAGAGAAGCCACAGTCTGCCTGTGACTGCACCAGTGCAAAGCAAGCAAGCAAGCAAAAGTGCTGATGTGACACGGGCTGTCAGGAGGCCACGTAACTAATTATCGCCAGAGAAAATGAATGTTTGCCTGGTGCTTTGAAGATGTCAGGCGTGGCTGTGAACGTCCTCAGGATTAGCTCATGCTGTACTAAGTCATGGTCCTTGCCCACAGCAACCTACTTTCAAAAGAAGCGGTGAGATCTTGTCCCCTCCACCCTGGGTTCTCTCCCATCCTTGTTCTGGATTGGAAAAGCCAAGCCGATGTAAAATGGGCTTAAACCGCTTTTCTTCAGTGAGCTCATGCGTAGTTCCCTGCTTCATTAGTAGCTGAATTCAGGCCTGCATTGAACCATAGCTGTGATTTACTGCTAATGCAATGACAACCTCCCTCTAGCCCTAGCAGCGGGTACTTTAGCCTGAGGCATCAGCAGCTTCCCATCATTTTCCTAGATGTCAAAGTGATTGGGGTTGTTTTCTGGTGTTTGAACGGGGACAAATGCATCCATCTAACATTGCTTGGGCCCAACAGATAAAGGAGACTGATGAGGTTCAAGTTTAAAGCTGCCAAGAAGCAGACCCCCAGTCCTTAGTATCACAGTCGTGAGAACAACACTATCTGAAATGGGTCCTGTCATCCTTGTCCCATCACAGGGTGGGGCGCAAGGAACAGCATACAAAATCATGGAGCTTGTGGGACATATGAGACCCAAGGACACAAAGCGGAAGAATTTAGCATCGCCGCCAGAGCAGATAGCTCCAGCTCTAGGATTTCCGGTGCCCATAAGAAGAGCTGAATGTCCAGGTTCCCTTCAAAAAGGCTTTCTGCTCTGCAAAATGGGATCACCACTGTGCTCTTTTGGGCAATGCAATAGCAGCTGGGAAGCAAATTCTGGGCTCTTCTGTGCAATATTCCAGGGGAAGCTTTTTCTTGTCCAGAAATGGCATTCGGTCAAAATGAAACATTTCCCATAGGCAAAGGAACAATTTGGACAGAATTTCCGATCGGGTCCGGTCAGCCGTGGTCATCAATGTATCCACCTCAGCCACAGCGATGCCTCACAGACGTGGCAGTGCTGGGTCCTTCATGTCCCCTCCCTGGTGAGCTTAGCACGGCACGTTGCCCGTGAGAAACGTGGATTCAGCCCCTCGGTGTCCTCCACAAACTCCGGTCCGTTCAGTTGAGGGCAGACAGCTGACAGCAGCATTGGTTCATAGCTGGCTGGCAAATCTTGGCCTCCGGGCAAGTTCTAATCAAACCAATTTACTTTTGTGACTTTGTCCTTTAAGTGCTTTTTTCATAACTGAGTATTCCTCTCTTATTCAGCCTTTAATGGAGTTGCTCCCTTCCTCCTCCTGGTGATGGTTATGTATTAGAGCGCAAAAAGAACTGTGAAGAATAGATTTCTTATTCATTCTCATTTCAAATTCAGTATGAATCTTAGTTATTTATATTCAAGGAATATATAGCTTTTTTTCCCTGCAAATACTGCTGCATACAGTACTTCTACTACTCACCATTTGACTTAATTACCAAACTCTGGTTTTAGTCTTAAGAAAAGAGAAGGGGGGTGGGAGAAAACTACTGAAAACTGGAAATATTATAATTAGCTCTCTATCTTAACCATCAAAAGTAATGTATGTCAAAGAACTCTCTCTTTGAATTTAAAACCATCTTCATTCATGACAGAGTAATATGGGGGTTATGTCTTTTTTTAATGAAGAAACAGTAGGATTGCATTGTGCTATGCCCATTACTGCACTGTGCTGCACATAATTGCAAAAAGATCCTTACGGAAAACATTTACAATTTGCTAAAATTGCCACTGCAGTTTAAGTCTGTTTATGATGCAGGGTTTGGGGGTTTTTTTTCAGTGATGCCTTTGGGTTGAGTTGAGCAACTGAGTAACTCACATTGACTTTAAGGGAAGCTGTATTTTCTGATTTTGTGGCTAAATTTGGTCCTAGGTTGTGTCTGCTGTGTGGGTTGTGAGAATCATGAATTAAGGTGGAATCAGGGGAAACAGCCTACGAAGAACCAGACCTATAGCACAGTGTCCTGGAGGAAGCTTCAGCACTGGGACTTTTAGAGCGGGCAGGACATAGCCCTGGGAGCTGCTCGTCCTGCATAGGCTCAGAGGAGTATAGGCAAGCTTCAATCTTTGATTCCTGTGGACAAAATTGTGCTCTCATTTAAACTGGCCCGGAGTAGCTCTTCAAAACCAACAACAGCCTTTTTGCAGTAAGGGCGCTGTTGGGCTTTTGGACCTCAGCTGCCTGAGCAAATGCCTTCATTGAATTTCCTCTCTTGCTAGGTGGTTGGGGAGTGGAGATTTAGCCGGATCCACTGTGATATCTTCGTCACCCTGGATGTTATGATGTGCACTGCCAGTATCCTCAACCTCTGTGCCATCAGCATTGACAGGTGAGATCTCCATGGGCCAGAGGGGAATTACTGTCCAGCTCGGCGTGGCTGTTGGCAATGTGGCTAGCACAAAATGACATGTCCGTGTGCCCTAAAGGAGCTAATTCAGGTTCTGGGGTCCAGCTTCAGGGACTCTGAGCAGGCTGATGTACCCAGCCCCGAGAGAGCCAGCTTGTGCGGTGCTCATGTGTGGAAATGATGGAGCAAAGGCCCTGGGGCAGCAGTAATCCACAGGGAGTGACCTGGGCTGCTGCCTGGCCCTCTGTCCTGCAGGAAAAGGTGCTGGAAACTGCAGTGCATTTGTGTTACACCTTCACATGCTCCATAATAAAGTCATGTCACAAGCGTCTTAGTGACCACCAGGAGACTCATAAAGTCAAATCTGGCCCCGATCAAGGCAGGGTCCCAGAAGGGCTCACCAATACAAGTCCCCAGCCCTGCCAGGGTCATGACACATTAGGTCTGTCTCTCCCTCACAGGTACACAGCGGTGGCAATGCCAATGCTCTACAACACGCGCTACAGCTCCAAGCGCAGAGTGACCGTCATGATTGCCGTGGTCTGGGTCCTGTCGTTTGCCATCTCCTGCCCACTTCTGTTTGGACTCAACAACACAGGTGAGCAGCATGCCCCCTCGCAGCTAGCTCTCCTCCATGTTGCAAACTCCTATGGCCTTCTGAGTCCCTAGAGGGGCTTGTCTGGATAGGGCTGGGAGTTTTAGTGAGTGTGCCCCCTTCCTCTTGTTCTGGCTGCCCTACCCCATGCCAGCCCATACACACCTCTGCTGGTCCCCTGGCCCTGAATTAGCTCCATCTCTCCTTTCTCCAGACCAATGTCCTTCGTGTTGGTTTACTGTCCTGGCATAAACCAGCCCCAACACCCAAAGAAAATACCTTACAGCCATAATAACAGTGAGCACTTTACTAATGACTAGATAACTTAATTGGCACAGCAGGGAAGAGAAATTTCAGTGGCTGATTTGTTAGGGAGCCAGCCATTCACTCGCATGTAGCTCACGGTCCTAAATTGAGATCCAACTGGCTGCAGGTGACCACAGACCCACTTTATAAACTGGTTTCAGCCCAGTTTCTACAGGGGAAGCACCTGCATGACAGACCTTTCCCCTCCAGTAACAACTGCTGGGTAGCTTTAACGCAACTGCTGGGGCTCTAATGCAAGCATGCAAGCCCCTCTAATGGGCTCTAAAATGTCTTATTAGAGCACTTGGGCCCTAATGCAAGCATGCAAGGCCCTCTAATGGGGTCTAAAATCTCTTATTAGAGCACTTGGGCCCTAATGCAAGCATGCAAGCCCCTCTAATGGGGTCTAAAATCTCTTATTAGAGCACTTGGGCCCTAATGCAAGCATGCAAGGCCCTCTAATGGGGTCTAAAATCTCTTATTAGAGCACTTGGGCCCTAATGCAAGCATGCAAGCCCCTCTAATGGGGTCTAAAATCTCTTATTAGAGCACTTGGGCCCTAATGCAAGCATGCAAGGCCCTCTAATGGGGTCTAAAATCTCTTATTAGAGCACTTGGGCCCTAATGCAAGCATGCAAGCCCCTCTAATGGGGTCTAAAATCTCTTATTAGAGCACTTGGGCCCTAATGCAAGCATGCAAGGCCCTCTAATGGGGTCTAAAATCTCTTATTAGAGCACTTGGGCCCTAATGCAAGCATGCAAGCCCCTCTAATGGGGTCTAAAATCTCTTATTAGAGCACTTGGGCCCTAATGCAAGCATGCAAGGCCCTCTAATGGGGTCTAAAATCTCTTATTAGAGCACTTGGGCCCTAATGCAAGCATGCAAGCCCCTCTAATGGGGTCTAAAATCTCTTATTAGAGCACTTGGGCCCTAATGCAAGCATGCAAGGCCCTCTAATGGGGTCTAAAATCTCTTATTAGAGCACTTGGGCCCTAATGCAAGCATGCAAGCCCCTCTAATGGGGTCTAAAATCTCTTATTAGAGCACTTGGGCTGTGATTTTGAAAGGACCCTGATGAAACTAGATGCCCTGATTGACTTACAGGGGAGTTGGGTGCGTGATTCCTTAAGCGAATCCCAGCCCTGGCTCAGAGGGGAGACGAGAAAGCGGCAGTGTGGAGGTGCTGGAGTCTTCAGCAAGAGAGAGAGAGACAGAGAGAAATGGTGGTCATAGCTCCTAACAGCTGGGACAATGCTCCTGCAATCTCTTGTGTCTTCCAGAGAAGAATGAGTGTATCATTGCCAATCCCGCCTTTGTTGTGTATTCCTCTATCGTCTCCTTCTACGTCCCCTTCATTGTCACCCTGCTGGTGTACGTGCAGATTTACATAGTGCTCCGGAAGCGCCGGAAGCGCGTCAACACCAAGCGCACCACTCTCGGCCCGGACTCTGACACGCAGGCCCCGCTGAAGGTAACCAGACCCATCTCAGCTCACCCCATCTCCATCCTCTCCCCCTTCCTACTCCCACTCTCCCCAGAGTGCCCCCGCCTCCCAAAGCAACGCTTTTTGGTGCAAGTACAGTGCGGGATTGTGGAGGTGGATGTGGTGCCTTGGCCTAGTTGGGAGCCCTGGTTGAGTTTGGCGGTCCCAGGTTTCCCCTGACTTCAGAGAATGCCTGCCATGGGAAGTGCCGAGTCCACTTTCCCTCTGAAGTCTTTGAGTTGGGGTTAAGAGGTTGACTGAGGTGTTTTCTGAATCAGTCCCTCCCAACAGCTCTGGGACACGGGGACACAGGAGCTGCACCCAGCTATTGGAAATAGGTGCACACACCTATTCTGGATACCTTCATGAAATGCTTGGATGCATCTAGCTGGGGTGATCTGACCCCAGCTGACTTCCTGCTCCTTGGGCAGAGGGCTGGACACGATGATCTCGCGAGGTCCCTTCCAGCCCTAATGTCTATGAAATCCATTAAATGCTTTCTTCATCCCAGAGGTCAAGCCAGGCGACCTAGACTTAAAGTGCAAAGCTAACCCCCCCACACCCATTGCTTTTAAAATTTCAACCAAAGGATTTCAGGGACCTCCAAACCCTTTGATTCTTGCCTCTATTTAAAAATGAGGACCTACCTAGTAGACGCCTTCCTTTCTCTCCCACCAGAACAAAGTCCAAGCATGCCCGTGGTAACAGCTGATGTCTCGGGGAGAGGCTGGCTTGCTCTGTGACACTTGAAGCTGTAATGAGCATTGGGGGACTGCTCACAGCCCTGTAGTATCCACAGAGAGGGCCTGTCCCAGCCTGCACGGATGTCCATAGCTAGCAATCTCCTTGTGGCTCATGAGCAAGGAAACCGCTGTGATGCTCTCAGGCACAGACAGATGCACGTGAGGATGTGGCGCACGCACTGCACACACACTTGTCATGCAGACTGCATGACTTGCCCATGTCTGAGGCTGATGTTGGCTACTGGAAGCACCTGTATGAGCAGAGGGTGGTGACACCATTGGCCACCAATTTCCATTCTGGCAAGAAGTGAGAAAGGATCCACGTACTCTTGCAGCCCCTTTTCCAAATTTTCTCTCGCTGCCTCCCCCAAAAGCCAGGTTCTAGGCAAACAAGATTGTGTGAAGGCAAAGAGACAGGAATAGCCCGAGGACCTGCCAGGTCATTAACATGTTCTCCTGGCTCCTTTGGCTTCCATCATTCATTCCCCAGAGTAATTTTCCAGCCTCCTTTCCACTGAAGCAAACTTGGCCGTGCCTGCTCAGTGCTCTGTGTTTAAGTTGTCACAACCCCCTTGCCAGCTGCCCCCTGCTTGCGTAACCTGTGTGCCGATGCTTGCCCCCTTAGGACAAATGCACTCATCCAGAAGATGTGAAGCTCTGCACAGTCATTGTCAAGTCCAATGGGAGCTTCCCAGTTAATAAGCGGAAAGTGGTAAGTGTCACAGAGGAATGCCAACCCTTCGGTGCCATCCCTTTCTCCCTCTGCCTTTGCAGGGGACACAGCAAGTGGAGATGGATTATTTTCCTCTGTTCTAAGAAAGGAAATTTCTCTGTTAACAAAGGGAATTCCCATGCATTGGCCACACTTCAAGGATGAACTTGCATTTTCCCAGAGACAACCAAAAGATTGGGGATTGCAGGGCTTTGAAAAGCTGGACTCAAACCCCACTAACTTGAGGAGAGGGGGTTCCTTCTTGAGCCTTCAGACTCTCTGTTGTAGGTAGTTTTCATTTCTTCCTTTTGTGTTTTCTATGAAAAACTGGAGGGGGGGAAAGCTTGTTGAAAATGGATATTTCCTATAGATATGTAAGGGAAAAAAATCTTGGCTTTCAATCCAGTACCAGCCCCTCCAAAAGAAAGCCATTTTCCCTGCAAAGGATGTCTTTCTTCAAACAGCTCTCAGTCTGTGGCTGCCCACTGGTAGTATTTCTGGGTTCTCCTTATAGCCTGGGGTCACCCAGGAGGTTTTCAGGTAATACTCCACCGAGTTGTACTAGGAGGGTAAAGGCCTGCCCCTCCTCTCAAGCATTCACAGCTAGGTGTGCTGTATCAGATAGCTTTCATTAATCCGAGAGAGGGAGAATGGGGAAGGAGTACAGGATAGAAGAGTATTAGAAAAAACAGCGGCTTGAGCAAAACAGAATGGGCTTGTTGGGGACCTTCTGATATACATCTAGTTCACTTAATCCTAAATGACTGGCTAAATTTCAGATGAGTTACCCACATGCTCATCCAGAGACTAATGGAGCTTTGAAGGCCTTTTGCTTGTTTCAGCATCCCAAAAACGTCTCCTCCCTCTGAGATGGGGTGACTCCTTTTTATAACTTTTTGTGACCTCATCACTAAGTCCCAGCCCAGGAGCAGGCCCACTGGATGCTGACTGATGCTCTTAAAAGACGTCAGCATGGCCAGGTGAGGCAACCTGGTCATTTGGTGGGAACTCGCAGGACAAAGAAAATCCCTCTGGAATTTTTTCCACCCAGTGGTAAATGGAGCAGAGGGGACTGGGCTTATAGCAGTGAGGCAGACTGGGGGGTGATTTCTCCACAGGGCTAACCCTACACCCTTCAGGGACTTCTGTATTACTCTTTTGTCCAGCAGTGCATTTACCTGCTTTTATCTTGGGATATTTGATCCTTGTCCAGGAGGCAGTGAATCACGTGGAAGAGATGGAGATGGAGATGGTGTCCAGTACCAGCCCCCCCGAGAAAACCAAACACAAGCTAGCACCGCCAAGTAACCACCAACTAGTCGTGCCAGCCACTTCCAACCAGTGTGTTAATTCCACCCTGCAGTCCCCCTTGAACAGCCCTGTGAAAGCAGAGAAGAATGGGCACGCCAAAGACAACCCAAAGACAGCCAAAGTCTTTGAGATCCAGTCCATGCCCAACGGCAAGACTAGGACCTCCCTCAAAACCATGAGCAGGAGGAAACTCTCTCAGCAGAAGGAGAAGAAAGCCACTCAGATGTTAGCTATAGTGCTCGGTAAGAATTTGGTTTGCCTCTCTTTGTCTTCTGTGAATGGCCATTGGCTGCCCTGGGCTGGTCGTCTAATGGGAATGTCCAGCTTTGGCCATGATTTCCTATACAACCAGGGAAAACAAGGGGTGGTGACGTAGCCTGAGTGAAGGCGCTCTCCGCCAATAAGCAGCAAGGGGTGGGTCAAAGGAAGTAGTAGTGACATAGACTGAGTGAAGATGCCCTGTGTCAATCAGCAGTGAGGGGTGGGGCCACTGGGAAATGCCTGCAAAATCAGCTTTGCAAAAAAAACCATTGCTTTGCTGCAACTTAAGTAGGTCCTTACTGGTAAATCATAAGAAATAGCTGTGCAATGAAAGAGCCAGGAGGAAAGCCCACCTCACCCCCAGCCAAGCAGCTTGCTCTTCCCTTTCCATCCCTAGACCACAGCCTCCTCAAACTCAGGGAGTTTCTCAACACTGGCGCATCCAGGCTGCTGAGTGCCAATGGCTGGGGAGGGACTCCCATCTCTCTAGGCTGCATCCCAAATAGTGGAGAAGTCCAGTAAGAAGTTAACAGGTTCTCTGCTGGCATAACCCCTCTTGAGCAAAACAGTTTGCATCCACTGAGAAATCCCACTGCTGAGATACCGAGCGGTACAGCTTTGGAAGAGGCACAGACAGAAATGTAGTCCTTGAGGAACCTGCCCTCTGTGACCCCCAAACCTCCCAGGGCCACAGAAGAAAGCTGGTGACTTTCAGACTTATCTTCTGCCTCTTTTCCAGGTGTTTTCATCATATGCTGGCTCCCCTTCTTCATCACCCACATCCTGAACATACACTGCAACTGCAACATCCCCCCAGCCATGTACAGCGCCTTCACCTGGCTCGGGTACGTCAACAGCGCGGTCAACCCGATTATTTACACCACCTTCAACATTGAGTTCCGGAAAGCCTTCATGAAGATCCTCCATTGCTAAGACAACACTCAGCCTGAGAAGAAAAACCTATACCACGCATGCACGCGCCCATGCACACCAGGCAAGCAGGGAGTCACAAGGAGGCCGAGTGTTTTTGTACAGGGCTGGGAGCCCACAGTGTTAAGACAGTGCCATATCCATGCAGCTGGGATGTAATGAGAGGCTTCGAGTGGGAGGATCTCTCCGTCCCCAGGTGACCTTTGGACTCTGAGAGGTCACTCCAAAGGGCACTTTTCAAGAGCTACCCTCACACTGTGTTCAAAGAAGCAGAAGCAAAAACAAAGACATGCTCACTTGATACCTGCCTGTGGCCAACTGACCTCGAGTGCATTAATTACTGACATTAGCAGAGCCAACGGCAGGTGGTGAGTGGTCACGGCTGCCAGTTGCTCACGTGTTAACGTCACTGATACAACTCTCACCAAAGACGCCGCCATCTTTCTCGCTTTGCAATAGGAGCCAGACAGCTGGAGCTCACGGGAACTACATGCAATAGCTTTGCCTTCACCTCCAGCTGACCTGTTCAGTATCAAACTGCTGAGGCCTTCAGACCAAGACTTAGCAAGGCCCCAAGTGGGCTAAGAAGGTTTGTCACCTACAGATCTGATTCCTACAGTCCTATGGGTCCACAGGAAAACGGGTGCCAAGGAGAAGGGCCATGTGAGTCACGTGCGGCACCGTACCGCCCATGTAAATATGAATAAATAGGATGAACTGAACCGAAGCCCAAGCCAAAAAATAAATAGGGAGAAAACTAAAGAAATGCTACCTTGTCTTGCATGGTACACACACTGATTCAAGGGTACCACTCATCCCCACTCATTACCCAGCCCGGCAGCAAGTCCTGCTCACCAGCATTTCCATCTCCTGTCTCGTTGCAGGTTATTGTGCAAAACGGAGTGAGGAGCAACAGTGGTGCATCCC